GTACCTAACTCCAGTTAAACATGGTTCGGGAAGCGGCGTGTGGAGTCCCAAATTAAGATAATTTCTTGCCTGAAAGTGCCTGGGACATTCCCGTGACTTGAAAATGATTCGCCAGCCTCCATGGCGTGCGCTCTGACAAGACGCTCTCTGTATTGCGAATCTCTGATTGTGCTGCCCTCAGCCTTCTGGGGTTTTTTTGTCTCGTTGCTGTCTTTGACACGCTTGATGTTTGGGTCGTTGTCCCGTTGCTCACGCGGTTTCGTTTCTAACACCCACGTGAGCGAGCTGATGCGGTGGTAAATTAAAGGCAGTCGGTAGCTGGCGTTTGGTATCGTCCGGCAGCTTCAGTAGATGATTCTTGTTCGTAGGTGAAAAACATGTGTGATAAATACCTTACTTAACCAGGGCTTGAAAAAAAGCACCAAATAGACAGGCTTTGTGTGCAGCCGAGGCAGTGACACGAGGGGAAAACAATTTCATAACTTCCTCTGGTTTCTGGGTGGTTTTCTGGTTAGGGAATTTTTTTTTTTCCGGTCCAATAGTGAAGTCCCTTCCTGTTTTCCGTAGTTTTCCGTGCCAGTGCCTCAAGTCGGGGCCTAAACCGGGCCCGTGGATGCTGGTGGGATTCTCTTTGTGTCCATCTGGGGCTGCAGCCATGTCTGCATGCGTCGGGGCCGGGGCAGCGAGCAGAGACGGAGCCCTCCTGCGACCCGTGCTTCCCTCGCCCAACCCAGGGAGCAGTGGAGAGAGCGGGATTTAGCTGGCAGTGAACGCGCTTTTCTAGCCCTGAGCATAAACGCTTCAGATCCTTGGCTGCTTCTTCAATATTCTCTTTTTTTTTTTCCTCCCCCACCCCCTGCCAGATGGGTGACCTTCAGCTGTGTAAGCTAGACGAACTCGACTGCCTTATTAAAGGAGTTTTGTACATTGACTCCGTTGGATTCAACGGCCACTCGGAGTGCTACTACTTTGAAAACCCGACGGATGCTGAGAGATGTCAGAAGCTCCCGTTCAACCTGGAGAATCCCTATCCTCTCCTCTTGGTGAACATCGGCTCGGGGGTCAGCATCCTGGCTGTCTACTCGAAAGAGAACTACAAACGGGTGACGGGCACCAGGTGAGCGCTGCGAGGGGCTGAATTCGCACGGAGTTTTCTTTTAGCACCTGGAATGGGTTTCTGCATGGTAGGTGCCGTTTTCAGGGACAAGCTGCACTAAAGGTGTTCCAGAAACGTGTGGATGTGGCACTTCGGGACGTGGTTCAGCAAGGGTGGTGTTGGGGTGACGGCTGGACTGGGTGATCTGAGAGGTCTTTTCCAGCCTGAATGATTCTGTGATTAGAGGCGGTGAGTTGTGCGACCGAGCGCCTGCTTTTCCTGCACTCCCTCATCGCTGCCAGCAAAGATCCCTCCGGGAAGAGGGAATCTGAATTTCACGTTTGGGTCTCTTTACTGCAGCCAGTCTCTTCAGAAGCTGCTTTTTTCAGTTGCCCTGCTGCAGAAGTTGAAGTGTGTTATTTGCCATCAGAGAGATCCCATACTTACGGCTTAACCCAAATATAATGATCGTGAGGACAACGTTAGCTTCGATCCCAGCAGTCGACATTTGCATCCCATCTTCCCAAAGTCACAGAATCACAGAATGGTCGGGGTTGGAAGGGACCTCTGTGGGTCACCCAGCCCAACCCCCTGCCCAAGCAGGGTCACCCAGAGCAGGCTGCACAGCACCGCGGCCAGGCGGGGCTGGAATATCTCCAGAGAAGGAGACTCCACAGCCTCCCTGGGCAGCCTGGGCCAGGGCTCCGTCACCCTCAGAGGGAAGAAGTTCTTCCTCATCTTCAGCTGGAGCTTCCTCTGCT